CACTTCACTTACAAGTCGTAATGTGATGAAATTCCATGATGGACATTTTCATTTAGGCGATGACTCTCGGATGGGCCACCATGATCCAACACACCAAAACTATGCTTAGGTTCATAATTTGTACAATTCATATCCGGCATGTACCCCCTGTTAAATATATGAGCGTTAATACAAATTCAATACAACAAAAATGATTTTCTTGACACAAAGGAAAATTGAAGCTTACCACTCGTCTTGTGGATTATGTAAAGCAGGCGGGGATAAGTTTAAATCAAGAAAAACTCTTTCATCCGGAACCTGTCCGGCAAAAACTCCTCCAGAATAACCACCCGGTGACTGAGGGTTATCAGGAACCTGTCCGGCAACCTCATTGTTGGGAACATCTTCGACCTTGACGTACATATCCAACATTTTGATTACAAGATATTCCCGGTATTCATCCGGAGTCCTCAGAAAATCCCTCAAAGTTTCATCATCGTAGATGTTTAACTCCGAGTAAAAAGCAGCCCCTTGCGGAGTGACGGAATACGGATATCTTCCGGTTACTTTAAGTATCACTGAACATTTCCTCACACCCATTTTTTTGCATAACAACGATATCAATTTATCGTACTCCATTGTAAGTGGTAATTTAACATGACCCTGTGGAGATAAACTATACCTCACAGAGTTATTCTCAATCACAACCTTACCCCCCCCCCCCCAATATAATGAAACTCTTATTCTACGCTCTTCAGACATTACGAAAAAAATGCTTAAGAATTTAATAATAAAAAATTGAATGGGAGTTAGAATTTTTTGTGAATGCTTTTCCTAAAATCCTAACCACTTTATATAGGAAATGGCTAGCCCGGGATATGAAATTTTTTTGACGTATAGCGTTCTTTAAATATACGCTATACTCATTTAAATTATTGTTATGTCAGTTAACTTATTGGTGGGCGCATAATCAGGGGTATAGCGTTTTTTGTTTTGGACGCTATATGTATAGCGTATGAATTTAGGACGTTATATATGTCAGTCAAATCGTCAGGCAGTATAGCGTCTTGTATTTGGACGCTATATATAGAAAAGTAACTTTTTTTTACACTTATTAATGTATTTTGAGTCAAAAAAATAATATTTAGGTTCCGGACTCCCAAATCTAGCGCGCATTCGAATAGCTCAAAATCATGGTTCTGAACTTGCATCGTTAGTCGTGGAAAGCCTGTAAACCGCTCTTTAATTCAGCTTTAGTTATCAGAGACTCTGCAGCACTGCACTTACTCCAAATCATATTGTGTTTGTTATGTCATACATGATTATTCAAAGAATTAAAGAATCATCTGTCAGGGCTAATCTCTGAGGTATATGCAACTGAAACTTCCTAAGGATGACCGGACTAACAGTACTAAACTAGCATTTGAAATGACTCAAATCGATTATCATTACAGTGATATCATCCGAACTACCCCTTGACACGGCTAGGTTTACAAGTTCTCTGCATGCAGCCACAAGCGCATTGGATGGTTGGTTCTTGTTCAAACCACTGTTTTCTTGATTTGGAGAATGAATTTTAATCTTCATCTTTGTTGGGTTCATTGTTGAAACTCGCCTTGCCTTTTTTGGAGGACTTTCATTTTCATTGCCAAATTCATCTTCACTGTTGACACTTTTCTTACAGCACGGAGAACGACTTTTCCTTGTGTTTGACTTGATTATGGGAACTCGTCGTAACTTTGAAGGAGTTTTACTTGAACAATAAAATTCCTTTCCCTTTTCCACTGGAAGTTGCATTCTCTTTTCCCTTGGACAATACTGCATTATCATATCCACAGCCTCCTGATTGCCCACCTAAACAACAACATAACCAAATGAATTCAGCTAAAAATCTCCACAATGGATACCCAAAAATTATAGTAATCAAATTGTCTAATGACAAAGATTGGTAAATCCCCACACATAAAAAAGTACACCGGAAATCTGATATTATCATTGTATCATATGCCCCCGGATGAATGATAATATATTGCTAGAAGTGCTTTAAACTCGAGCAGAAATCAGTACTACGCATTGTTCGTGCAAAAGCTTCCTCATCAATCAGAATGTATACATGTTTTCTCTTCTAACCTCATCCCAAAGACCATCAGAAGCTAAAACAAGGTATTCCATATCTGGTGCCAAAATGAGTGTTTTGGTGTCAGGTTCAGCTGGTACCCAATCCTTCAAATGAGAATCTCCAATGCTTCTTGTGACAGAGAGAACACCATGTACTCTCCAACCTCCTCTGTGAAGTTCAACATATCCTCCCTGCATCAAAAAAGTTCGGAATGAGCAATTATAATCAACAACGTCTCTCTTTAATTTCAAGTAATATGATGTACCTTATCCTCTATTCTCTTCCGCTCATCCTCCCTCTCAGCTCTATGATCTATTGTGAGGGCTTCAGCAACTCCACTTCTACATAGAACTGCTCTACAGTCTCCCAAATTTGAGATTATAATCTCCTTTCCTTCAATTAATGCCGTGACACAGCAAGCACCACTGCCCAAACCCTGTTAAACCAACAGGACACAGTACAACAGACAAAAAAATGTCTAAATTTAATACAAAGACATATATATTTACTCTTTACTCTTAACATAACAGACTCCAAATAACAAGAATATCTGCAATCTTGACTCCAAGAGAAGCAATTGCCTTTGAAATGAGATCAGAGATGGCTGATTGAATCTGAGCTGATTATGGTTCCACATTCTTATTTTGATAGCTCAAACTTTTAAAATCCTAATTTCTCTGATATTTGTACTACATCTGCCAAGCTAAGAAAAGTAAGAAAACAAAGATCCAAAGTTTGCAAGAATTCCAATATAGAAATTCGGCAAAGTTGTTCCTATTTTGTTCACTAAAAAGAGCGAGAAATGTATGTTTAAAAACCCAACGAAAAAAGCAAGAAATTACCTGTTTCAAAAACCGCTGATCAGTTTTCAAATAAGCAGCCTCAATAGCTTTTTCTCTCGTCGTGCTTGAACCATTGTCAAGCATTTCAAATACATACGAGTGTAAATTTTCTGCCACAAATTCTGCAGCTTTTCGCCCTCCGTGTCCATCATATACCCCAAAAAAACCCTTCATTTTCAAGAACTACAAAAATTCAGTTCTTTCAACAACAACAATGACAATGCCTCAAAAATCCCAATCAAATTGGGGTCGGCTATATGAATTACCACGGTCCAAGTCCCTCTATTTAGAAAATTCCAAGTCTTTCAAGAAAGAAACTTGAAACCATTTCATAATTAATCAAATCAAAAAAATGAAGCAGTTTTTAGTTACCCTTTTGACATTTGAGGTAGAAATTATTTTGTGGGTATCCTCCATGGTGGTTTTCTTGCCTTTGCGGCAGAAAAGGCCGACCCCATGACCACTGAAGCAAATGGGACGTTTTGTGTCAGCTGCATCATTGTTGAAACACGGCTCTGAATTCACTCGAATCTCACACAACAAACTGGGGATCTCAATCTTGGGGGGTCTTTTCCGTTTTAAAGAACAGAAAGAATCAGCTTTCATGTTTTGATTCTCGTCAGTAGTGGCTATGTTATTGTTGTCATTCATTACTGTGGTTGTTGAAATGCCTTTCTGCATTTTGATTGTGAAACTCTGTGAATAAAGTTCAACTGAGACTGGAAGGTGGCTCCAACGGCTAGGAATGACAAAGTCGTTCAAAGCAGAATTAGAAGCAGTTTAACTGTTAGACTTTGTTTTAGAGCCGTTGGGCCAGGAGACGGGGTGAGTGGTTTTACTCGGGGTTGGGGGGGGGGGGTGGCATTTCTAATTTGAAAACGTTTTTGTCACTCGTATATTACATATGGAAAAGGGGGGCCAAATATCGTCTTTTTTGAGTGTCCATCTAATTACATCCCTACTACTGTTATACTTTGACACAAATATACCCCTAATTTAAACGGAAAAACACATGGCAGCTTAGGAACAAAATAACCCACCCCTAATTTTTATTACCCGGATCCAATCAAAATTCATCCCAAATTGTTTACCAATTACACGACCCAATTTCCCTCAAAACTTATTAATTCCTTTCTAGTTTCTATAGATAACCAACCAAATACATGGCAAATGTGGGGCCACCCCCAGCTCCGATGTCGTTTCATCACATTACTCCATCCCCGTCGTCGACCATTTTCATTTCCCTTTTCTTTTCTTCTTTATTTTTCGACACAAAGTCACAAACCCACTTTATTCTTTGTTTTACAACCCTTCACTTCTCAAAAACATCCTTTGACTCTTCAAAATTTCTATGCTTCCCTAATATAGAAACAAACGATTCAGATCAAGTTTCTTCCCTAACGAAATGAGTATTCTATGCTTCCCTAATATAGCTTTCTTCATCTCTTCAAAATTTCTCGGCTGCCTCATTACTGTATTTCGTCATGTGGGTGCCTCTATTTTTAAAAAAATTTCACAAAAGCAATCTGAAGTTTGGTCGTATTGTATTTCCAAGTTTTTTTAAGTTGGGTCTTGCAGGTTAAATATGGCCAAAAGTATTTTTTCTACACAAATAAATATGATCCATTAGGTTTATTTGTGACGCATGAAAACAAAATCAATAGAGGTCGTGAAAGTTAAGAGAAAGAATATTTAAGAGGAGTTAGATTGATACAAACATTTCAGCTGCGCCCAACTAGGACGCCAGCTAGATTGCCACCTAGACTATTTCAAATTTCAGTTGTGTTTTTAAATTTCTGTTTGGCGGGAATAGTAGTTACAAGTTCAAAATTCAGTTTATACATTTACCCTTCAAATTCTTAGATAAATAGATACAATGTAATGAAAAGCTATTGTGATAATGATAACTTGAAAATCTGATCTCAACTCTCCTTCTCCCATTCTCTCTTCGTCTTCTTCTTACCTCCTTCTTACATTCTTCTTATTTTCTCTTCAAATTTTACTGTTTCATTGCCTCGATTCCAAAATCTGGTATCAATTGGTATCAGAGCTCGTAGATAATGGGGCCTCGCAGAGCTGTGGATGTAGTAACTGGAGTTCCACCAACTAACTTGCAAGAGCAATATGAGGACTTAGCTGCTCAGCAGCTAGATCTTAGAGAGGAAATGGCTCAGAAACAGCAGGAGCTTCGTGAAGACATGGATAGGCAACATGCTGAGTTGCTTCAGATGGTAAGTTCTCTTAAAAGCTCCTTTGATGGTTGGCAATTGAATCAACAATCGAAGGACAATGCATCTACGTCGACTGGTAGGGATAAAGGACTTCAATCAGGGCAGGGTATTCTAGGTCCTAATCCCTACTGTGCTAATTCTAGTCGAAATCATAACCTACTGTTTCCGCGTTTTAATGGAGAAAACTTGAAAAATTGGCTACATAGGATCGAGCAATACTATTCTGTGGATAAGACTCCTCTTAACCAAAGAGTGAGTTTAGTAGCAATGAATTTAGATGATGAAGCGTTGGTGTGGCATCAATCTTATATGAAATGTCGTGATTCACTTGATGTACCAGATTGGGATGAATATCTAGCTGCTTTGATTGAAACATTTAGTGAGGACTTTTCAGATCCGATGCTGGAGCTCAAGCAGTTAAGACAAACAGGATCAGTGAGAAAATTTCAATTTGCTTTTGCTCGACTGTTAGCTCAATGTGACTTATCTGTTAACCAGGCTATATCTTGCTTCTTAGGAGGACTGAAAGAGGAATTAGTGAATCCGGTCAAAATGCATGAACCTTAGACCTTATCTAAGGCATATAGATTAGCTAGACTGACAGAAGCAACATTAGCTGCTAATGCTAGAGCTCTAAGGTCCAATTCTGGGGGTCAATCATCCTTTACTGTGAGGAAATCTGTTTATGAACCTGTGCAGGCTAAGGTGTCTTCTACCATTGCTGTGCCCAGTCCAAAATTAGCTTTACCTGCTCCTCGAGCACCAGCTGTACCCAGGACTAGAAGGACTATATCTCCTGCTGAAATGCAGGCCAGAGGGCACAAGGACTATGTTACTTTTGTGATGATAAATACACCCCGGGTCATAAGTGTAACCTCCCTAAACAATTATTTGTGTTGGATTTGGAGTATGGGGTAAGAGGAAGACTCAGGGACTCAGAAAACAGAAGATGAAGCTACTACTGAAGAGTGGTCTGGGAATGAGGGTGATCCCCCTAGGATCTCCTTGTGTGCATTAAGTGGTATCCAAGGGGCACAAACTATTCATGTGACTGGTTATAGCAATAAGAGACCATTGCAAATTCTCTTAAATGGGGGAAGTACTCACAATTTTATAGATTGTGAGTCTGCTAAAAGGTTAGGGTATCACATTGTACCCACTAAAGTTGGGTATGTCAGCCTTGGGAATAACTCTATGGAGGCTACTTCCGGGGTGGTGAGGAATTTTCAGTGGTTATTGCAGGGTACTGCCTATACTTCTGATCTTATTGTGTTTCCAGTTGGCAGGTATGATCTAGTATTGGGTGCATTATGGATGAAGACATTGGGGCCAGTTACTATGGATTACACAGCCTTGACTATGTCATTTACTTATCAGGGCAAGTTCCATCTTCTCAAAGGGGTGTCTGATGAGTGTAAGCTCTCAAGTACTAAAGCTGTCAACAAGATGAAGGGGGATAATGTCCAACTTTTCATGTTGCAAGTATTAAACCCTCATCCCGTTCTACATTGCCATGATCAGTTCTATGCTTTACACCTTCCTTAGGATTCTCAAACTCCTGCTATCATTAGGGAACTTTTATTCCAGTACCATGATGTTTTTGCAGAACCCACTACCTTGCCTCCTTCAAGGGGTGCTTTTGATCATAGCATTCCTTTGATACCTGGGACAAAACCAATCAATATTCGACCTTACAGATATTCTTCCATGAAAAAAGATATCATTGAACAACTGATTAAAGACATGTTGCAACAAGGTGTGATTCAATATAGAAACAGTCCATTTGCATCACTTGTGGTGTTAGTAGGAAAGAAGGATGGGTCGTGGAGACTTTGTGTGGACTACAGGGAGTTAAACCAGTGTACTGTTAAGGACAAGTTCCCTATTCCCATCATAGATGACTTGTTGGATGAACTAGCAGGGGCAGTGATTTTTTCAATAATTGACCTTCGATCAGGTTACCACCAAATAAGAATGGTGATAGAGGACATTCCTAAAACTGCCTTTAAGACCCATCTAGGACACTATGAATATTTAGTTATGCCCTTTGGCTTAACTAATGCTCCTTCTACCTTCCAGTGTCTCATGAACCATTTATTCCAACACTTTATCAGAAAATTTGTCTTGGTTTTCTTTGATGATATCCTTGTTTATAGCAGGAATTTGCAGGATCATGTAATACACTTGCAGCAAGTGTTTGAGGTTATGGTGCAAAACAGCTTACTAGCTAAGCAATCTAAATGTGTCTTTGGTGTTTCTAAAGTGGAATACTTAGGTCATTTCATTTCTAATGAAGGAGTAGCTACAGATGCTAAGAAAATAGCTGCTGTTCAACACTGGCCAACTCCACAACTATTAAGCAATTGAGGGGTTTCTTGGGTTTAGCTGGCTATTACAGGAAGTTTATCAAAGGGTATGGCCTTATCAGTCGTTCTCTTACTGAGTTACTCAAGAAGGACAACTTCTATTCGTCTGATAGTGCTGCTCAAGCCTTCTCTGCACTCAAATTAGCTTTAACCACTGCTCCTTTCCTAACTCTACCTAATTATTCTGCTCCCTTTGTAGTTGAAACTGATGTCAGTGGAACAGGTATTGGAGCTGTTCTCATGCAGCATGATCACCCTATTGCTTTTATCAGCAAGGGCTTAGCCCCCAGGCATCTTGCTCTCTTAGTTTATGAAAGAGAACTTCTTGCTCTAGTCTTTGCTGTCACCAGATGGTCCAATTACCTGCTTGGTCAGCATTTCATTATTAAAACTGACCAAAGAGCTTTGAAATATTTGTTGGATCAAAAGCTGCATACTGACTCCCAAATGAGGTGGTTAGCTAAATTGCTTCCTTTTGACTTTGAGATACAATACAAAAAGGGTAAGGAAAATGTGGCTGCTGATTCACTTTCCAGAGTTGATGGTGCTGAGCTTATGTCCTTAATGGTCTCTTCTGTTCAAGTTGAATTGTGGCAGGCTATTACAGCTAATTGGGCTTCTGATCCAGAGTTGATTGCTCTTATTTATTCACTCCCACACTCCCCTCAGAAGCACTATGCTTGGATTAATAATCAGCTAAGGAGAAAGGGCAAATTGGTTATAGGACATGATGCTAAGTTGAGGAATCAAATCCTTACTCTGTGGCATTCCACTCCTTCTGGAGGGCACTCGCGTATTGATGCCACTACAAGGAGGTCATGGCCTATTTCTACTGGAAGGGCATTAGACAAGATGTCTTGGAATTCATTCACAAATGTACTACATGCCAGAGAAACAAGTATGATACATCTGCATATCCTGGACTCCTTCAACCTTTACCTATTCCTTCACTGCCTTGGACTGATATTAACATGGATTTCATTGAAGGGTTGCCCAAATCCAAGGGAAAAACTGTTATTTGGGTCATTATAGATAGACTAACTAAATATGGACATTTCATTGCTCTTTCTCACCCCTATACTGCCCAGTCTCTTGCCCAGATTTTCTTGGATTCTATTTTCANAGTTTTAGCAAATGAACTAAATTACTTAAGCATGTTTAGTATGAAGTTTTAGCAAATGAACTAAATAACTTAAACATGTTTAGTCTGAAGTTTTAGCAAATGAACTAAATAACTGAAGCATGTTTAGTATGAAGTTTTAGCAAATGAACTAAATAACTTAAGCATGTTTAGTATGAAGTTTTAGCAAATGAACTAAATTACTTAAGCATGTTTAGTATGAAGTTTTAGCAAATGAACTAAATAACTTAAACATGTTTAGTCTGAAGTTTTAGCAAATGAACTAAATAACTGAAGCATGTTTAGTATGAAGTTTTAGCAAATGAACTAAATAACTTAAGCATGTTTAGTATGAAGTTTTAGCAAATGAACTAAATTACTTAAGCATGTTTAGTATGAAGTTTTAGCAAATGAACTAAATAACTTAAACATGTTTAGTCTGAAGTTTTAGCAAATGAACTAAATAACTGAAGCATGTTTAGTATGAAGTTTTAGCAAATGAACTAAATAACTTAAGCATGTTTAGTATGAAGTTTTAGCAAATGAACTAAATTACTTAAGCATGTTTAGTATGAAGTTTTAGCAAATGAACTAAATAACTTAAACATGTTTAGTCTGAAGTTTTAGCAAATGAACTAAATAACTGAAGCATGTTTAGTATGAAGTTTTAGCAAATGAACTAAATAACTTAAGCATGTTTAGTATGAAGTTTTAGCAAATGAACTAAATTACTTAAGCATGTTTAGTATGAAGTTTTAGCAAATGAACTAAATAACTTAAACATGTTTAGTCTGAAGTTTTAGCAAATGAACTAAATAACTGAAGCATGTTTAGTATGAAGTTTTAGCAAATGAACTAAATAACTTAAGCATGTTTAGTATGAAGTTTTAGCAAATGAACTAAATTACTTAAGCATGTTTAGTATGAAGTTTTAGCAAATGAACTAAATAACTTAAACATGTTTAGTCTGAAGTTTTAGCAAATGAACTAAATAACTGAAGCATGTTTAGTATGAAGTTTTAGCAAATGAACTAAATTACTTAAGCATGTTTAGTATGAAGTTTTAGCAAATGAACTAAATAACTTAAACATGTTTAGTCTGAAGTTTTAGCAAATGAACTAAATAACTGAAGCATGTTTAGTATGAAGTTTTAGCAAATGAACAAAATAACTTAAGCATGTTTAGTCTGAAATTTTAGCAAATGAACTAAATAACTTCAGCATGCATTAGCAAAAACTCATAGAAAATTACATATTGCAAGACAAAAACTTAAGCATGTTTAATTTGAAGTTTTCGCAAATGAACTAAATAACTTTAGCATGTTTAAACTGAAATTTTAGCAAATAAACTAAATAACTTCTGCGTTCATGACAAAACTCTAGACTGCAGGATAAATAACTTCACCATGCATTAGCATGAAGTTTTAGCTTTAATGTAAAACAATTTCATGCTATATTAGCATGAAGTTTTAGCTTCAACATGAAAAACTTCGTGCTACATTAGCATGAAGTTTCTAGTTTTTTGATAAAGCTGCTGAGAGGAGAGGAGTAGATTTTTTTTGATGAATGAGGTTGCAGATCACGCGATTTACAGGGGTGTAAATGTCATATTATTACGGATTTTTTGTCAACTGGCTACCAAATCACTAATTTTTAAAAATAGGATACAGGTTAAAAGGTGGCACAAAATAGGGTACGGCTGCAAATCCCCCAATAAAATTGGGGGTGGGTTATTTTGTTCCTAAGCTGTCACGTGTCATTCTGTTTAAATTAGGGTTATATTTGTGTCAAAGTATAACGTTAGGGACGTAATTGGACAAATACTCAAACGAAGGATATATTTAAATCATTTCAAATAGTATAGGAATACATTTGACCCTTTTCCGTAATACATATAAATTCAATTTTTTTCTTATTAAAATTTACGAAAAAGGGCCAAAAATACCCCTATCGTATGGTAAATGGTTTATAAAAGCCCCCTGTCCATCTATCCGTCTAAAAATATATAGGACGTTATTTTTATTTTTAAATTTACCCCCACGACTAACGAAATTCTATGTGTGCATCTCATTAACTGATGTGGCGTTATTTCATTTGTCCACGTGGATCAGTGGGGCTAACATTATATTTGGGTATTTTTTTACCCACTAAACCGATCTGACCCATTTCTTTTACCTATGGGTCAGTCTTTTAACCATATACACACCGACAAAACATTCATTTTTACTTTTTCTCTCATTTATTCTATCTAAACTATCAATGGCGATTTTAGGGCTTATTTAGGGTTCATTGTCTGGTCCGATTTGGTGCGCTCAAAACAGGAAGACCTTTGATTTCCAGCGATATCTTGCATTATTATTCGATTAAAGTAAGTATTTACAGCTTAAAGTTATTAAATTGTAGGGTTGGGAAATATTTGGGAACTGACAGGTTTATGTCTGCTGCATGTGATGTTTTTATGTTTTTGAGCTATTTCTTGTACCTTTCTAGAATTTTTTATGTTACTTTTGTTTTTGGTGGTCCTTATCGTATTGGTCCTACACATTAAAGCTATGGTTTTTGTCAATTTGTATTTTAATTGATGGTGGGGTTTCATATCTTTATATTTTTATTGTCGCTTTGTATTATACTGCTGATGTGGTCCCATTTTGCCCTTTTTTTATTGTTGTTGCATGTGATTTTATCCGAAGGATGGTGGATAAAGTGAGCTTATATTTTAATTATGGGGGTGAGTGGGTATTGGAACCTACGTTGTCTTATACTAAGAGAGATGTGCACGTGTTGAGTGGTTATGAAGTAGACCATCTCTCTTATATTGATTTGTGTAAAGAATACACTAAAGTGATAGGATATGTTGAGGTACAACAGCTGATATTTCTTGACCCTTCTAGGAGGTATTTTTTGTTAGATGGGGATGAAGGGATTAGGAAGATTCAAGCCCTAATTAATGATGGTTTCACTAATGTACAATTATTTGGTGTTGACCTGTTGGATGATACTGTAAATGTTCCTGTATTTACCCAGTTTACAGCAACAATAGATAGTGTACCTGTTGCTGCTTCTGACTGTGATAGTAGTGAAGGTGATACAGATATTAAAAGTGTTGATAGTGATTATGATAGTGATGCCCTAGGTTTATTTGAGAGGCAGAAGAAGTGTGAGGTAACTGACCAACTTGATAGGTATAAAACATTGGAAAAAGGTATGACTTTCAAAGATCTTGCTGAAGCTAAGGAGGTTATTGGTTATTATGCTGTGTCTAATAAGAGGGGCCTTAAGGTAGATAAGAGTGATAAGAGAAGACTTAGATACAAGTGTCATATTGGGTGTCCCTTTAATATCTTATTTCTAAGGATGGCAAAGATCAAGGGGTAAAGATAAAAACTTGGAGGGATGAACATGATTGTGGTGAAGTCTTTGAGAACAGAAGAGCTACTCCTGCTGCTTTAGCACATTATTTTAAGAGAAAGATTCAAAATAATCCTAAGTTTAAGATTAAAGAGATGAAGGTTGATTTAGAGGATAGATTTAGTATGAATGTGAGTGACTCAAAGTTAAAAAGGGTAAAGAGAATGGTTTTAGAGAAATTGGAGGGCAGTTACTTGGATGAGTACAACAAATTGGAGGCATATGCTCAAGAGTTGAGAGAAACAAACCCTGGTACTGATGTGGTGATACAGATATCCAAGGATGCAATGGAGGAAGGTAAGAGAAGATTTTTGAGGATGTATGTATGTTTCCAAGCCCTCAAGAGTGGATTCAAAGCAGGTTTGAGACCTTTTATAGGTTTAGATGGAACATTTTTAAAAGGCAAATGCAAAGGGATGTTGTTAGTTGCTGTTGCTCAAGATTCTTGCAACATGTGTATCTACTAGCTTGGGCTGTAGTGGATAAGGAAACAAAGAGAACCTGGCAGTGGTTCATGGAGAACTTGAAGGCTTCTTTGGACTTGAAAGATAATGAAGGGTACACATTCATGTCATATTTGCAGAAGGTATGTTACCATATGCAGATTTTTACATTTAGCACATTCTTGTTGATGTAGTGTTTCTTCATGTGTAGGGTCTGTTAGATGCTGTGAGGAATGTATGTCCACAATCATATCACAGATATTGTGCAAGGCATATTGAAGCAAATTGGAGCAAAAATGGAATACTGATGAGATGAAGAAGTTAATGTGGTGGTGTTCTTGGAGCACATATGAGGATGAATTTAAAGACATGTTGAAACAGTTAGGTGAAGTTTCTGAGGATGCTGTCAGGACTTGCTGAATTATCCTCCAGTAACTTGGTGTAGAGCATACTTTGATACCCAATGTAAGAACCCAATGGTGGACAACAACTTTACAGAGTCCTTCAACTCTTGGATTCTTGAAGCTAGACATAAGCCAATTGTGAAGATGCTTGAGGATATAAGAGTGAAGGTGAAGTTAACTACTTTGACTAACCGCTTGTTTACTGATTTACTACTGCTGATTAACTACTGATTTACTACTGTTGACTAACTAACTACTATGTTACTGATTAACTATTGAAGTTGATGAATCAACTAAAGGATAGATCAGAAGAAGTTAATAGTTGGAGAGGTGAATACATCCCATATGCAATGGAGCTATACAATGATTATAGAGAGATGGCTTCAAAGTGCAAGGAAAATTTTAATGGAGAAAGGGATTTTGAAATAAGTGAAGGTGAAGACAGGCACATAGTGATTCTGGAGCAACAAAGGTGCACATGCAGACTTTGGGACTTGTTTGAAATCGCTTGTGCTCATGCTATCAGGGCATTCTTATATAAGAAACAAGACCCAACACTTGGGAATAACAAGCTTGGCAGTTGGTGTATCAGCACAAACTGCAGCCTGTTAGAGGTGAAAGATTCTGGAAAGTTGAGCCACACCAAGCCATGGATCCACCACCACTAGCAAAGATGGTTGATAGACCTAAAGTGAAAAGTCAAGAGAGAAGGATGAAGCTAGGAAAAGGCAAGGACAATGGTCAACATCTAGGAAGGGTCTTTATATGACTTGCAATTTTTGTGGCCAGCCAAATCATAATAAAAGAAGTTGTCCATTAGCCAACAAGGTATACTTTCAATCTATTGTTTATACTCACAATCTGTATTTTTTACTCACAAGATAACATGTATATTTGATTATAATTACAGTCAAAGAAAGTGCAAGACAACACTCGGACAAATGAAGACCAAGAATCAGAATTTTTTATGGTCCCTACTCCAGGTTTTAAAGCACAAGACCAACAATCCAGTCAGAACAGTCATATGCCAACTTAGCCATCCAGTCATGACACTCAGCAGCCAAGTCAGCAATCTATTCAGAACACTGAACAGCCAACTCAGCCATCCAGTCATGACACTCAGCAACCAAGTCAGCAATCCAATCTCTACACTCAGATGCCAACTCAGCACTCCAGTCATGACACTCAGCAGCCAAGTCAGCAATCCTGTCATGACACCCAGGCAACTAAGATGCCAAGTCAAAATATTCAGACCAGAAGAAGGCTTATTCAAGCAGACTTTGGTGCAGAAGCTGACCCAGTTTTGAGGCCTAAGGTTGTGTCTGATATTAAGACTAGACTTCAGCGTAGGAATCAACAAAATTCTGGGACTAGGGAGATACAATTCACAGGTGATCACACTGGTAGCTCACAACCAACAAAACTGCCATACTCCCCAAAGAAAACTACCTGGAAGGGGAAGGAAGCAATGACAACAGCTCAACTGTTGGGTGTGAAAGAGAAAAAGATTGGCAAACTTAAAGCTAGAAGAGGCAAGGGGAGGGGCAAGGGGGAGTAGTGTAGCAAGAAATGATGAATGTAATATACATTAAAATCCTTTTTTTTGCATGACTGTTCTAGTACATGATGTTTGTTTATGTTCTACGCTTTTAGACAAGTAAATATTGTGACAGTGGTACAGGTTTTTGGATCACACATTTACTTGTCTAATAGCAATGTTTTGTTGGGCTTAAATCTTGAAACAATGTATATTTGCTACTCGATTAATGGAAATGTTCTTCTTGTCTATCTTGTCTATCTATAAGAGATATTTCTATTTTTGTTATTGTGATTGTCTGTGCATGTGCACCTTTACAAATACAGAATTAAAATGTTGTATGAGAGTGAAGAGAATGGTAACAAACTTCATTTCATACCAAAAGAGAACCATTACAAATACAAAATTACAAAATAAGAACCTAATACATAAACATTACAAATGCAAAAAAAGGAAAAAATCAGAACCTAATACATAAACATCTGCAAACTTCATATTTCAATTTTGTGGTTTAACTTCAAACTTCATCAAAACCTAATACATAAACTTCAAACTTCTGCAACATAACATAATTACACCATAACATAACTACATTACATCATCTTGAAAACTAGTACTAACACAAAGACAATCCAATAAAATACAATAAACAACTTCATATTTTGTAGTTGAGCCTCCATCCTAGCAACCTTATGTAATTTTGCTGAATTAATTCCCTCGACCTCTTCCATTATTTTCTCAATTTTCAGTCTTTTAGCAGAAACAACATCTTCCAAGTTAGCCACCATCTTCTTCAGATAATTTCTTTCAACTTCCACTGACTTCAGTGAAGTATTCAAGTTATGGATTAGTATTGTCACATGTGGTGGCATCTCTTCATCCCGCCATTCCCACAAACCACATGAAGAGGCCTCGTCAAAATGAGGGCATTTGTAGAATCGACGACCAATGTTCAAATGAGTCTTAGCCACAAAATGATTTGCAGTTAAACCACAACCACAACGACGCAATGAACTAGAAGAGACAGAATTTCCGGACATTTCGAAGGAAAAAGACAAGATTTAATTAGCTGTAAAAGAGAAATTTTGGGGAAGAATAAAGGGGAATAGGGGAACCTGATGACCTAGTGTCACGACCCAAACCGGATGGGCCGCGACGAGCACCCGGTGCCTTACTCAACCGAGTACCAACATAACATATCTTTCTTATCATACTATCATGGTAAATGAGCTAGAAAACTCGTCATGAGATAACAAGAATGAAACATAGGGGAATACTCAACATTTGACGACCCACCATGATATGCAAACTTATACATGTGACATACGGGCCTATAAGGCCGACATGGCCATTTGTAAACTCAAAACATAAGCCGAAAAGGCCATACAAGTATCCATACACCTGACATCTGTCTACAAGCCTCTAAGAGTACCTATAATCATAAAGGTCGGGACAGGGCCCCGCCATACCAATCAATACATATCCAAAGCATACTGACCAAATAGGCAACTCCGGAGCAAGTGGAGTACACCAACACCTTCGCTGAGCTGATAGCCTACTAGGAGGAATGTCAACCTGTCTATCGGGACCTGCGGGCATGAAACGCAGCGTCCCCAGGCAAAAGGGACGTCAGTACGAATAAAGTACCGAGTATGTAAGGCAGGAAAGCATAAATAAGAACAGTAATGTAAAGAGAGATAGAGGAGATACAACCTGTAACATCCGAGTGCCTCTGGGGGCTACTGACATGAAATGCATAATACATATATATACATAAACTTTTAAAAACATACGCCTCTGTGGGCATCATCATCATCATATCATACTCGGCCTCAAAGAGGACTCGGTAAAAATGTACCCGGCCACGTGGAGCTCGGTAAACCCAACTGATCAGTGGTTGCACAATAGGTGCCATACCCGGCCGACTATAGCGCGGCTCCATAGAGTAAAATAGATACATATATAATGCATGCTGGACTCATGGAGTCACGTTCTAAACCTTTTGGAGTGACATAAGGTCATTGCACCATCGATTAACATCATTGACATCATACCATCAATATGAACTTCACTAGGACTCAAGGATCATACATACTTTCTTGGAATAACTTTGTAAGGAAAGAACAACATGGACAACCTTAGTTGCTAGGAGTAGATTCATTATGAAATAGCGTATCGTTTACGTTCGTTTCACTATAGATCATGCCAAGAGAATGAAGGAAGAGCCTTAACATACCTTGTATATTCTTCCCAACCTCAAGCTATGCAATTTCACGGCTCCTTAGTCTACAATAAGAGAAATGACACTCTCGTTATCGTTTAAGCGTCGTAACTATTATGTATTAACCACAATCTATTTTACAATGAAATGGACAGCACCTCCCCTATATATATTACTTCACACTAGTCAAAACAATCACAAACAGCCCAACATACCCCTATCACTTCATACACAACACGACAACCATAATAGTGTCAAACAATCCGAAAATGTTACGATGAACGACCAACAAACAACCTTGCCATTATGTGGTGTTTCTCCACACCCTTCCTCCCTCAACTCCATAAAAATAGTAGTAAAAG